GCTGAGAGAGTGTGACTTATGTGCCGTGGCGGTTGTGGGCACACGCGCACGTGCTGCACATGGAGGAGGGTGCGTGGGGGTGTCAGCTTCCCTGCCTGCAGAGCTCTTTTTCCAAGGGAGGTGATGCCACAGTAGAGGTTCCTGCTGTGCTCAGGTAGACTGAAAGCCACCACTAGAAGTCCTTCTCCTGTTGCCATTGAGTTGCCATTGTTTGGGCATCGGCAGCTTTGAATTCATCCAGTGTCTCCAACATGGCAAAGTCATTAGATCCTTCAGATCTGGAACAAGCAGAATGAAGGGGAAAAAACACTTGCCCTGTTGATTCCAATTCTGACTGGTGTGAGACATCATTGTTGTTATGTGCCCTTAAGTCATTTCTGACTTATGACAACCTCAAGGTGAACCTATCAAGGAGTTTCCTTGGCAGAATTTGTTCCAAGTGGGTTTGCCTTTGCCATCCGAGAGAGTGTGACTTGCCCAAGGTCACCCAGTGGGTTACCACGGTCAAGTGGGGGATTTGAATCCTGGTCTCCAGAGCTGTAGTCCAATGCTCAAACAATGACACCACACTAGCCTGGGATGCACTGAATTTGCTACTCTGCTCTTCCTGGAATCGCTAAGAAAAGAAAATTAAGCTTGCAAATTGAGATAGGGAAGGTGCTTCTTTTTTAGAAATTTATCATGCAGCTTCCCTGGTTTACTCAGAAGAAAGTCACACTAATCTCAATATTACTTACTGTAAAGTAAAGTAATTGTGTATAAAACTTTAGCATAAGAGTTAGTCAATTTGTGGTTATCTGTTACTCATTGCTAGTCAATTATTTTCCAAGTTGGGCAGATCATACACAATGTTTGTGCAAAGGTAAAGAAGCCAGCCATTCAGTTTGAGAATGAAAAGCATGAAACAGCACATGACAGTGCATAGCAGAACAGATTAAGTGCCTGAAGTCTTCCCTTGTAAGAGATACACTTTGAGTGGAAGTTTATTGACCATTGGGACTAATTCCAAAAACAAACTACAAAAGGGAATCCCTGCAAGCACATTTACTTCATTCTATACAAAATCCAGCTAGAAGCTCTCTGGCTAATCAGAATTTTTCTATTTCTTCATCCAATCATAAGAACAAAGAAGCAGAAGATTATTATATCATTGTCGCCTTGAGCTATGCAGAATGTCAACCAGCAAGTATGTACAAAAAACAGAAATTCATTTAGGAATGTCAATGAATAAAGGCTTCCTAAAGCAAATACAGTATACCCCAATATAGATACATGTATAAAGAAATGCATCTAGTGAATTGTTTAAGGATATTTTAAAAATTAAGTTTATTTTTGAATTAGGATATCCCAAACCTCATGGCATCATCATGCTCTATTAGAGAACAAGGTCTCAAACCTTTCAACAGTGTGGAAACCTGAGACTATCTTCAACTTCTTACTTCATGTTCAGATAATATTCTGCTCTACTTGCACTTTCATTTATGAGCTAAAAGGCAATAAAATATTAAAGAAAGAAACCTATTATTCTATGTCCATTTGTACCATCAAGCACTCTTATATCTATAGCTCTATGGGAATTTATTTCCACACAAAAATTTTAGGATTACATAACAAAGACTGGCTTTGGTCTCAAAAAGATTTTTTAAAATATAGTTTTATCAATACTTATAGTGAGCTACAATTTTAACTGAGAAAAGCCATTCCTAGCAGATGTTTTAAGCTACTGCCATTGAGTTCTACAATAACATCAATAAATCTGATTTCTTTAATGATGTTCTCTTATTAGAAAGCCTTTGAAAATCAGATAAAAGTCTTCAGTAACAGGTTTTCATTCCATTAAAGAGATTATGTAAATTAAATGTGAACTGAGATATTATTCAAAAAGGTAATACATTCTAAAATACGAACATGAAAAAGGTGAACACGTGGAAAATTAATTTCTTAATCTGTTATGAAACTTTGATTAAGGTATATACAAGAAACAGGATGCTACTTAATCCATATGCTTTACAAACTGTTTGTCATGTGACATAAGTAGACAACTATTTGAAGCACCTCTACATTTACAAAATTAACCTTGCAGTTTTTGAATCCTGACTAATGCTCATAGACCAAAGGAACATTTGATACATATTTTATAATACTATTCTGGAATCCTGCCAAGGACTGTTCTCACAGTAACAAAGAGGTCTGGCTTCCTCCCCATTTTCAGAACCAATTACACTGGAGCTTGAGATTGCTTTTTAAAACTGTAAACAAAAAGTTATCTGCAAATTTGACATGAAGCTGTTAACATAGAAAATACTCTACATGTAACATCTCCCTTTCAAAGGTGTACTTATCAGTTCAGGTTCACTTTAGGGTCCTAATAAGTCATAAATAAACAACAACAGCAACGTGGGGCTGTGATGTCTAATACATAGGGTTTCAAAAAAGAAAGGCAAAAATAGATTAGATACTCAAAAAGAAGTCACACTTCCATACTCCTAAAACATGGAAACCAACCATCCCTCTCTCTATAGGGGACAATCTTGCAAAAATCATTACTTGCTGCAGAACTGTTGGCCCTCATCCAACTGCTAGTCCCAATTAAAACCATAAACCCATTAAACAAACTGCTGAATGGCAAAGCTAATACTTATATAGACACCACTCATTCAAGTACTGGTCTACTTGAATGAAGCTGTATTCTGCAATATCAACTTTCAATTAACTGTATTTATTTAATTTAGTGACAGGCAAAGTTCAGCCCTCCAGAGGCTATTGAACTGTAGTTTCCAAAATTCCTCACCACTGGCTATGCTGACTAGGGCTGATCATGGCCGAAGTCCAATAACATTTGGAAAACTGCAGTTTGTCCACCACCGATCCAAACCAAGAGCAAAATAAATCAACTGCAAAGGAATAAAGTGATACTTGTCACTTTAAGACCATCTAGACCAGGGATAGGCAACCTAAGGCCCGGGGGCCAGATGCGGCCC